CATGTCTCACGTATCATGTCTCACGTATCATGTCTCACGTATCATGTCTCACGTATCATGTCTCACGTATCATGTCTCACGTATCATGTCTCACGTATCATGTCTCACGTATCATGTCTCACGTATCATGTCTCACGTATCATGTCTCACGTATCATGTCTCACGTATCATGTCTCACGTATCATGTCTCACGTATCATGTCTCACGTATCATGTCTCACGTATCATGTCTCACGTATCATGTCTCACGTATCATGTCTCACGTATCATGTCTCACGTATCATGTCTCACGTATCATGTCTCACGTATCATGTCTCACGTATCATGTCTCACGTATCATGTCTCACGTATCATGTCTCACGTATCATGTCTCACGTATCATGTCTCACGTATCATGTCTCACGTATCATGTCTCACGTATCATGTCTCACGTATCATGTCTCACGTATCATGTCTCACGTATCATGTCTCACGTATCATGTCTCACGTATCATGTCTCACGTATCATGTCTCACGTATCATGTCTCACGTATCATGTCTCACGTATCATGTCTCACGTATCATGTCTCACGTATCATGTCTCACGTATCATGTCTCACGTATCATGTCTCACGTATCATGTCTCACGTATCATGTCTCACGTATCATGTCTCACGTATCATGTCTCACGTATCATGTCTCACGTATCATGTCTCACGTATCATGTCTCACGTATCATGTCTCACGTATCATGTCTCACGTATCATGTCTCACGTATCATGTCTCACGTATCATGTCTCACGTATCATGTCTCACGTATCATGTCTCACGTATCATGTCTCACGTATCATGTCTCACGTATCATGTCTCACGTATCATGTCTCACGTATCATGTCTCACGTATCATGTCTCACGTATCATGTCTCACGTATCATGTCTCACGTATCATGTCTCACGTATCATGTCTCACGTATCATGTCTCACGTATCATGTCTCACGTATCATGTCTCACGTATCATGTCTCACGTATCATGTCTCACGTATCATGTCTCACGTATCATGTCTCACGTATCATGTCTCACGTATCATGTCTCACGTATCATGTCTCACGTATCATGTCTCACGTATCATGTCTCACGTATCATGTCTCACGTATCATGTCTCACGTATCATGTCTCACGTATCATGTCTCACGTATCATGTCTCACGTATCATGTCTCACGTATCATGTCTCACGTATCATGTCTCACGTATCATGTCTCACGTATCATGTCTCACGTATCATGTCTCACGTATCATGAGTCACGTCCTAAACGCACAACCAGACGAACACACATCAAACAGACCTTAAAGTCCTTAAGCCGAGTTTTCTTGCAGGAGATCTGCCCATGATGGGTCCACTCGATGGGTCCACTCGATGATGGGTCCACTTGATGATGGGTCCACTTGCTGGGTCCACTCGATGATGGGTCCACTTGATGATGGGTAGACTATATGAAGGGTCCACTTGATGATGGGCCGGCTCGCGAATCGGTCGACTTGATGAGGGGTCCACTTGCTGGGTCCACTCGATGATGGGTCCACTCGATTATGGGTGGACTTGATGATGGGTCCACTCGATGATGGCGTGTAAAGTAGCTGTCGACAGCATCACATAAATGTTCTCCCCAACTTCCGGTAAAAGTTCCGGTATCCAAATCACCCTGTGATGAAATAAGTAATAACATAATGAAGAATTTTGTAATGTTTGTCATATTATTAACGATTTAATAAACTTGCTGTTTTGTTATACGGTAATTTATTTTTATCTTACAGTTTATTACTTTATTTCCATCATTCAGAACAAAGAGGAGAATACTTTGTATTGACTTCAGTGTTTTATTATTTACAGCAGACAACTCTGACTATACGTTAACAGACTGAACATTCAAGGGAAGTAACTATGATATGTATAATACAAGGGACGTAACAATAACTAACAAGATATAATTTAAATCTTACTAAAATAATTTTATATTCTATATATATTGTATTATGTCTTTTGTGTCTATGTTCGAATCGTTTAGGAAATGGTCCTGTATAACATAATTTTGAAAAAAAAAGTTTTTCTTTAAAAAGAGGGGGTGGGCGGGGGAAGAGACAACTTTCCTGACGAAAAGTATTAAATCCCATAATATAACTAAATTATCCTAATAATATGAAAGCCAGTGTGCACACCTCTCTCTCTCTCTGTCTCTCTCTCTCTCTTTCTCTGTCCGCAAAATATTTTCCGAGGCAATGAGATCAGTATCTTCAGCGATATATGGATGTATGGAGACCTTAATGAAACGGGCTTTTGTTGCAAACTATATGTTGGATTATTAAATGTATAACCTAAATTGTATTTAAAGAAGGAAGATGAAAAAGGAATTATCGAATGTAGAAACTTTTTAAATCATGCAACTGGAAAAGTGTTTATGGTTGTGACAAGAACTCTTTAGAGAACATACAAATTTAAAAACAATGGCGTCTTCGCTTTCAGGATAAAAATAGAATGTCGAAAATGATACACAATACTAATGAAGTCATCTTCAATAATATTTGCTTTCCACATTTTCCAATTATAGAATATGAAGAAAGGAACTATTTCGCTCAAATTAGATTTAAATCTATAGATTCTAGATCGGCTTATCAAGACTTATGCTATAAATGTAGACCTTTATAATATTTCTCGGGCAAAAAAAATACTTTAAAAAACAACACGAATAACAGCCGGGCTTTTAACGGAATCATTTTTTAAGTCTGTTAATCAGTTTGTGCATTTAATATGGTTTTGCGTTGACTAATAATGTATATAATTTGTTTTTTCTAATAGGTATTGGTAGCCTATGTTATTTTAAAGGTGTCGGATTTTTAGCTATTTAGTTATTTCTTTAATTTATCGCTAATATCGTTCAACGTGTAGTAAAGCACATTGCGTTTTGACCAATAACTATTTTATAAATTATTTTTCTCCAACAAGAATAACAAAAATATATAGGCATAGGGCTATAATTCGCGTCGGGTACCGATGGCTAGTAGTTTACCATAGGTATTCGAGGATATGTAAAATAAATATCCCATGATACTAAATACTCTATATACTTAGTATATTTCGTATACACTACTATAGACCTATTTGAGAAAGTAAAAATAAAAATAAAAGTTAGCCCTTATAAATTTTAAATATTCTGTACATTGATATTATACAAAACTTACATCAACCCTCGTCGTCAATATGATGCTGTTGTTTAGGTCGACGTTGTTTAGTGGCAATTAGAAAGATAAGTTATCCAAACACATGAACGATGAGCACCATTTTATTAGCAACATCGTCGTCAATATGATGCTGTTGTTTAGGTCGACGTTGTTTAGTGGCAATTAGAAAGATAAGTTATCCAAACACATGAAATATTTTATTGAAATCCCTAAATTCAAGATGGAGGTCTAAGTCCAAATGATACGCGCCTGTTCCCAAAGACACATGACTCGATTATGCACTATCGTTTGGCCTCCACTGCGCATGACATCTCACAATATTGTGTCACACAATGAACTATTTCTACCCCAGGCACTTGTCAAAACAAACACGGGTACTGGTTGACATTCTACTTGGCACTGTGCTAAACCCATCAAACACACACGTCACACAATCTCACTACACATTCTTTACAGTGAGCGTTTTCGCATAAACTTAACACAAACCACGTCACCAGACACCCCAGTTTCTATTGTCACCACCCTCCACTGGAATCTATATTTAGGGGGGGGGGGGGGGTCACAATTTATGACGTCAGCATAGGAGGGGGGTGGGAAAAATAGAAGTGTGAATTGTTCGGGGAGGGGGGGGGGTGGTAGGATCTTTTTGTACGTCCACATGATGGATTTAACATTTAAATTTTAAAAAAAACAGTTCTCATATTGTAAATAAGACAAATATACTAGTAGTTTTTAGTAATTCATAATTTATAGGTTCGACACTAGCAATGCTGCGACTGGACATCTCTATACATAATATCTAACCCTCCTCCCGCCCCCTCCCACGCTTTCCAGTCTGGTGAGTTGTGATTCACGCCGAATGTTTAAACGATTTGAAACTAAGGGGAGGTAGCCAAGGACCGTAGTCCATACATATTGTACTGTCTAGCGGCCGTTCATAAATGACTTCGCGTTAATTAGCCGAATTTTTCACCCAACCCAAATCGTGTGCACACACCAGATAGCCACTGACGACATTAAAAATGTTTTGTTCTGCAGCCCACCCACCCCCTCTTCAGTAAAAAAATTTTTTTTTAATTATTTGCATGTCTGACTGCAATAACATGCAATATCTGACTAGCTTTAAGAAAAAATGTTGGTAAAATGAAGACGTTCGCGGTGTCCATATGCGATCACTCTTTGAATTAACAAAAAGTTAAATAGTCTTAGCACATTCACACCGCCACAGTGTGTTTATAGATCAAATGTACTTCCATTGAATTATTTATGGTATCCAGGAAGATAAAATTGTAATCAACTTTCATAAACAGAAAGTTAGCCGAGGAAAGAAAAATGTGTTGATGTTATGTGATCCGTCACACAAAAGATTCTTCAGGGCATGACCACGTGATGTAAACATTTTTATTAAGTTGATTCAGTTTCTAATCTTTGTCAACAATCAATAGAGTTACGTTTCCGGCACTAAATGATTGTTTCGGTCTATTTTAAACACTATTGGAGTATTACAGTATCGTATACAAAAATTTGTAATATATTGATACCTTGATTAATTGCTGAACTGATATTTGAGTTAGTTGTAACTCGCATGACGAAGATTGTCTAAGTACTGTTTTAACATTCTTTGGGTTGCTTGAAGGGTTTTAAAAACGATACTTTCGGATGCATAGCGACGTATTCCTGCGCCCGGGAGGTGCTATCAGTTTAGCTATAACGCTAATAATAAATAGGCCGAGCTATTGTAAATGAACACACACTATAGAAATAACACGGTGAAAATGTACGACAATGCCACGTATAAAATGCTCACACAGAAAAACAACAACTCTGGCGTAATTCCCACACCGGATCTAAACTATAAAAAAACTGTAACAAAACAACTGAAGCCGTCTTGTTTATCTGACCTATGACCCCCAATACACTTTGCTGTGTTTTAACGTCATGGTTAGTTTATATTTTGTTATTGTAGGTTATGTGAAAAACATGGTGTGGTGACTTAGTCTAGATAGAACATGGTGTGGTGACTTAGTCTAGATAGAACATGGTGTGGTGACTTAGTCTAGATAGAACATGGTGTGGTGACTTAGTCTAGATAGAACATGGTGTGGTTAAGTGTTCTATCTAGAACATGGTGTGGTGACTTAGTCTAGATAGAACATGGTGTGGTGACTTAGTTTAGATAGAACATGGTGTGGTGACTTAGTCTAGATTGAACATGGTGTGGTGACATAGTCTAGATAGAACATGGTGTGGTTAAGTGTTCTATCTAGAACATGGTGTGGTGACTTAGTCTAGATAGAACATGGTGTGGTGACTTAGTCCAGATAGAACATGGTGTGGTGACGAGTTCTATCTAGAACATGGTGTGGTGACTCTAGATAGAACATGGTGTGGTGACGTGTTCTATCTAGAACATGGTGTGGTGACTTAGTCTAGATAGAACATGGTGTGGTTAAGTGTTCTATCTAGAACATGGTGTGGTGACTTAGTCTAGATAGAACATGGTGTGGTGACTTAGTCTAGATAGAACATGGTGTGGTGACTTAGTCCAGATAGAACATGGTGTGGTGACGTGTTCTATCTAGAACATGGTGTGGTGACTTAGTCTAGATAGAACATGGTGTGGTGACTTAGTTTAAATAGAACATGGTGTGGTAACTTAGTCTAGATAGAACATGGTGTGGTGACTTAGTCTAGATAGAACATGGTATGGTTAAGTGTTCTATCTAGAACATGGTGTGGTGACTTAGTCTAGATAGAACATGGTGTGGTTAAGTGTTCTATCTAGAACATGGTGTGGTGACTTAGTCTAGATAGAACATGGTGTGGTTAAGTGTTCTATCTAGAACATGGTGTGGTGACTTAGTCTAGATAGAACATGGTGTGGTTAAGTGTTCTATCTAGAACATGGTGTGGTGACTTAGTCTAGATAGAACATGGTGTGGTGACTTAGTCTAGATAGAACATGGTGTGGTGACGTGTTCTTTCTAGAACATGGTGTGGTGACTTAGTCTAGATAGAACATGGTGTGGTGACTTAGTCTAGATAGAACATGGTATGGTTAAGTGTTCTATCTAGAACATGGTGTGGTGACTTAGTCTAGATAGAACATGGTGTGGTGACTTAGTCTAGATCGAACATGATGTGGTGACTAAGTCTAGATACAACATGATGTGGTTAAGTGTTCTATCTAGAACATGATGTGGTGACTTAGTCTAGATAGAACATGGTGTGGTGACTTAGTCTAGATAGAACATGGTATGGTTAAGTGTTCTATCTAGAACATGGTGTGGTGACTTAGTCTAGATAGAACATGGTGTGGTGACTTAGTCTAGATAGAACATGGTATGGTTAAGTGTTCTATCTAGAACATGGTGTGGTGACTTAGTCTAGATAGAACATGGTGTGGTGACTTAGTCTAGATAGAACATGGTGTGGTGACTTAGTCTAGATAGAACATGGTGTGGTGACTTAGTCTAGATAGAACATGGTTTGTTTAAGTGTTCTATCAAGAACATGATGTGGTGACTTAGTCTAGATAGAACATGGTGTGGTGACTTAGTCTAGATAGAACATGGTGTGGTTAAGTGTTCTATCTAGAACATGATGTGGTGACTTAGTCTAGATAGAACATGGTGTGGTGACTTAGTCTAGATAGAACATGGTGTGGTTAAGTGTTCTATCTAGAACATGATGATCTGATAGTCAGTGCCACTGGGGTGTCCCATTCACAGACATGTTTTTGTCAGGTAACCAGTTCCATCTGGCTAAAGATGGCGGTCTCAAGGTCAACGACAGGATGGAGACCAGTGAAGAGCATGTGTACGCGGCAGGAGATGTGTGTACGGCCAGGCAGGTGGGTACAGGTTAGTGCAGGCGGATGCAGGTTAGTGCAGGCAGGTGGGTGCAGGTTAGTGCAGGCAGGTGGGTGCAGGTTAGTACAGGCAGACGGATGCAGGTTAGTGCAGGCAGGTGGGTGCAGGTTAGTACAGGCAGACGGATGCAGGTTAATACAGGCAGGTGGGCGCAGGTTAGTACAGGCAGGTGGGTACAGGTTAGTACAGGCAGGTTGGCGCAGGTTAGTATAGGCAGTCAAGTGCAGACTTTAATCATATTACTTTTATAATATCCTTTCACTTATCAAGATATTCTGCATAATATCATAAAACAAAATTACATAGGTAGCATTGTATATGTTGATAAATACAGCAGATAAAATAACATGTAGAGATATTTTAATTAGTAACTATAATATTAAACTTGCTGATCACCAGCATTGTACGTTTTGTTTAGTATTTAAATTCTATTTTCAATTTTTCTAAATTTTAAAAGCAGGTATAACAATTGTTAAAAATAATCTTGCTTTTCTTACAATTTTCACCTAAACTTAACCAGCAATGTTTTCTTTGAACATTCTAAACTCAAATAATTCTGATGGATCTTACAGATGCGTCTGTGGTCTCAAGCACGACAGATGGGATGTTATGCTGCTAAATGCATGGTAGCATCAGTCAAGTCTGAGGAAATAACCATGGACCTTTGTTGTGAACTTTTTGCCCACATAACATCATTCTTTAATTTTAAAGTAAGTTCCTGCACACCTCTCTATGTCCACTAATTTTAATTTTTTGACATTTGTACTAAAAGGCTTTTTTCGCCAACAGAGTTTAAAATGGTAGTTTTTTGTATTTTAAATGTACTCATATGTAATCACATTTGGGGAAACATAGTTGGCCAATTTTTAGTTTAGTTTTGTAGTTTCCTTCAATGACTCTTTTTATTTTACATTTTCCAGGTTATTCTCTTGGGAAGATTTAATGGACAAGGTTTAGAAAACAACTATGAAATTCTGCTACGGATTACTAAGGGTAAGCTTTTTATTTTAGAAGTCATCATTCTTTGAACAAGGGTAACAATTTAAGGGGGAATAATTGTAACAATTTTAAAAAATAATTTTCTAAATTTATATTTGAATAGTAAATCTATTGGTCAGTACATATGAAACATTAATTCCTTTTGTTTTGTTTTGTTTTTTTTTTGTTTTCTTCATGTAATAGTTGTGATAAAATAGTAAATTTTTTTCAGGACATCAAATCAGTTATTAAAAAATTTCTATATGTTCCTTATGTAGTTGGCTGTATTTTTTCAGAGCTACATTTAAAAAAAAAAACTTTTCTATTGTTGTATTGTTTCACCCAACAGGTGAAGAATATGTGAAAGCCATCCTACATGGAGGGAAACTGGTGGGGGCAATACTCATAGGGGAAACAGATATGGAAGAAACTTTTGAAAATTTAATTCTCAACGGCATGGACCTGACTCCATTTAAAGACAACCTTCTGGAGCCTGGGATAGATGTGGAAGATTTTTTTGACTGACCGCCTGACCTGTGTGTTGATAATTGATTGTCTGTCATGATTTCTTTGACTGACCACTTGACCTTTGTGTTGCTAATCGATTGTGTATCATCATTTCTTTGTCAGACCTGTGTGGTTTCATCTGTATTATGACTTGAAAATAATGCTGTTATTTTGATAAAATGTGTTAAATTATACTGCCCTAATAAAGTTTTTAAAAAATATATTTTATTTGATTTTTAGAAGGTATTTGTTTTAAAAAATTAATAGACTCAGGAAAAAAAATGTTCATAGTATAATCAAAGTGATTTTGATTAGTGGGCATGCCAATAATAACAGTAGTTAAAGTTATACCTCATCTTCAGAAGCACCTGTGTACTTGTTTGTTTAGTGTATCTATTTATCTAGTATACAAAATTGTGTTGTGGAGCAATTTGTTTTGAGCAAATATTTGTTAAGTACACCCTCTTCTTAAGTGTACTATTCTATAGAGTTTAATCTGTATTATTTGTTTAGTGCCCTTGATAACTGAACTCATATATTGTCACCTGCCAAGTCTGACCCTACAAGATCCCTCACTCAGTGACTGAACAAATTGACAAGTATGTGTATTTATGTAGTTTACAAATAAGGACAGAGGAATGCACTTTATGTAGAATTAATTCCTAGAGTTAAAAGAGTTCATTCCCTTGCTCAGTGTTAATGAGATTATTTCCTTCCCACAAATTGTTGAATAAATATGTCTAGGTATCTTTAAGGTTAGATACATTATGTATGGGAGGAAAAATGATAGGTTTATTGTGGTAGCCATCCTTTAAGAAATATGTGTTGTTAGTTAGTTTCTTTTATACCTGGTAGTAGAATTTCTTTGCAAAGGGAAGGTACCCTATTAATATTTTTCGCCGAACCACTTAAACTTGGTTATATCCCCTTGCACATAAGACGTTACTTATTTTACTTTCTCGTCGTGCGGCGTCAAAGCGGCCCCGTCAGATCGGCCTCGTCAAAAGGACCAGCGACATATGGACCCCGTCATATAGGCTCTCGTCATTTAGGCTACCGACAAATAGGCTCCCGTTATATAGGCTCCCGACAAAGGGGTTCCTGACAAATAGGCTCCCGTCATTTAGGCTCCCGACATATAGGCTCCCGTCATTTAGTTTGTTCCACAAAACGGCCCCCGTCATTACGACTCCCGACAAATAGGCTAGCGTCATTTTGGCTCACGACAAAAAGGCTCCTGTCAATTTGGCTCCAGACAAAAGGTCCACTGACAATACCGTTTCTGTAGAGACTAAGTCTTCCGGCAAAGGGGTCTCATTGAATATGACACCTTCCAGTGGGACCCCTTCATAAACATTCTTTAGAATTAGTTTATCCAACACTCTTATGTAATACAACCAGGGGCGTAACTACAGTGCCGCCAGACCCCGCAATACAAAAATAAAAACATAAAAATAAACATAAAACGAGACACCATAACTTATACAAAGCTTTCATGTTTTATATACTTTTGACCGACTAGTGATTAAGAGATCTGATAGCAGAGATAAAATAAACTAGATATTTAAAACAGACTATTGCACTTACACACATGACATGTTGTATTTTGCTTAAATTGAAAAAAAAAACAATTATTTTTTCAAAACCCGAACAGGCCAGCAATGAGAATCCTATGTTATTATTGTGTGTTTGTATATATATATATATATATATATATATATATATATATATATATATATATATATATATATATATATATATATATATATATATATATATATATTTAGATATAGAAATAGATATAGGTATGGGGGGGGGGGCTAAAAATATTTTTCGGGGTGGCCCATTTTTTCTAGTTTCGCCACTGAATACAACGTATGCAACTCTTGTTCGGCAGGCCTTATTTTTATATTAGTTTATCTATTATAAATTATAGTATGTTTTAGTTTAAGGGTCATCTATCTATGACATCCATAATTGAGTCGGTTATAGGCTGTTTCAACTCAGTGTGTGGGGAGAAGTGTCCACGCTATACCTTCCTACCTGCAGTATGCTTGTAGGTTATCAAAACAAGATGCTGTTATTATGTAAACATCATGTATATCATACATTTACAATTCTGTGCTCGCTTTTAAGCAACATATCTTTTCTGTTGTAAATTAAACATTATCAAAACTTTAGAATTGGTGGAATTCAGCTGTTTAGGACTCGATTTGTTTGTGAATTAATGTTGGTTCATGAAAAACAATTTCATTCGGGCATTTAAAAGAATTTATAAGATATCCGTTCTGGGTGAGTGTGGATAGCCAGTGAATGCAACGCGTTTTTTTTATATCACCTGTTTAATATTTCGTGTGTAATATAATAAAAAAAATTTGAAGAATTAAGTTGTTTTTTTTTCAGAAATCAGGAGGAGACAATGAGTACTTTTTAATTAACGCCCCTGTTTTGCAACCTCACAAAGTTTTGAATGAGAAACGGGTAGGTCGTAGAATTTTCTATTTTGAAATCTTTTAATTTCATCCTAAACATTTGAAATTCCAACTTATCATGTCAAAATTTCACACATTTTGTCACATCGTATCATCGTTGAATTTGACAACTCTTGTTCTAACATTACACAATATGTTGACAAGTCTTGTTCTAGCATTACACAATATTGTTACAAGTCTTGTTCTAACATTACACAATATGTTGACAACTCTTGTTCTAACATTACACAATACGTTGACAAGTCTTGTTCTAGCATTACACAATGTGTTGACAAGTCTTGTTCTAGCATTACAGAATGTGTTGACAAGTCTTGTTCTAACATTACACAATATGTTGAAAAGTCTTGTTCTAACATTACACAATATTTTGACACGTTTTGTTCTAGTATTAGATAATATGTTGATAAGTCTTGCTAGCATCACAAATTATAAGACAATGATTTCAAGGCTTCAGCTATCATAGATCTCATTCATCACGTATACTTTAAACATCAGATGTGTCTTTCTAAGTCCAAAATATTTTGATCTCTCCTTTAGGTTAGCACCTGACAGTTTTCGTCCCAATATGTTTCATCGCATTATGTCTTCTTACCCTAGAGATATTACTAGCTGCCACATTAGAAACCTCTATATATATCACCACCTACCATTCTCCCGCCACTGAAGTGTCACCACCTTCAATGTTCTCCCCTCTGTCTATCACTACCTAACATTTTCTCACACTAGATGTATCACCAACTACAACTCTCTCACACTAGATGTATCACCAACTACTACTCTCTCACACTAGATGTATCACCAATTACCACTCTCTCACACTAGATGTATCACCAATTACCACTGTCTCATCACTGAGGTGTTACCACTCAAACTTTTTTTCTCACCACATTATTTTGCTCCCATCAAGTGTCACCACTGCCAACGTTCTTACCATCTATGTGTCACCACCTACCATCCTCCTACCATTAAAGTGTCACCACTTCCTATGTACTCACCCTCTATATCTTAACACCTACCTTTCTCCTACCACCAAGTGTCACCACCTCCAACGTTCTAACTCTATATGTGTCACCACCTACCATTCCCCCACCACCAAAAAAGCCACCACTTCCAACGTTCACAACCTATATGTGTCACCACCTAACATTCTCCTACAACGAAGTGTCACCACTTCTCAACCTATATGTGTCACCGCGTTTCGTTCTCCCGCCACTGAAGTGTCACCACCTCTCAACCTATGTGTCACCAGCTACCATCCTCCCACCACCAATTGTCACCACTGTCAACGTTCTCACCCTCAGGCTCTTGTAGCCCGACCCACCAGACGTCAGCATGACAGACCAAGTGGACCCACCCACCACCTCCCACGTTTACACCCCACCCACAACACCACTGCCAGCTCGTTGACAAGACTACACTCATCTCTCCACTCCTGCAACTATTTATGCCTGTCCCTGGATGGTCGATTAAGGCCTGATTGAATGTTTAAATACAATTCACGACCTGGGACCGTGATAATGATAGGTTTTCTGAGAACAACGGCATGAAATTCACGACCTGGGACTGTGATAATGATATGTTTTCTGAGAACTGTACCATAAAGCATAATACTGGTGGATTTTGGTGGAGAGATTGTGGTAGTGTTAGGGTCAATGGTGAGTGGGCAAGTCAAGAATGGGCTAAGGCAATTCTGTTGCCCAACATCAAAGAGAAACTTAATTCTCTGGACTTTGTTGAGATGAAAGTTTGTCTTATATAATCGGACTGAATTTCACTGTACAATAAATCTGGGTCCTACAATAGTTTTGTATTTCTTAGTTTTGTTTTTTGCGATGGCTTTACAATCTATCAAATTTTATACGGGTTTTAGTGTTTAGAGTGGTGAACGATAACCAAACTACAGAATCATTTCCAGTTTACACATACGTAAGTTAGGGCCGGTCAGGGCCGGCGCTGCCTATAAGGCGAACTAGGCTGTCGCCTAGGGCGCTATCCATAGTGGGGCGCAAAAATGTGTAATCTCGATTAGTAAAAAGTAGACATACATAATAATTAATAACTTTGATTACATTATATAAACTTTAGACAGGATAATATACTTAGGCGTAGCGATCTATTTCGGTGCCCAGGACGAACCATCAATTTTACACCCTATCTTCAAATGAGGCCTATACTGTTAATCGCGTTGGTGAAAGTGCGCCCACAACCTCCCTCACTAGGAGAGGTCGAGGCGTTTTTTACCAGCCAGTTTTCCTTTTTATTTTAATGTCAAGCAATAGATCTGGAAAATAATTAAATAAGTTCGTAATGCCAAGTAGCCGTCAACATTCTTTATTTGAAAGAAAGTTGCATATAAATCAGTAATGAGCTTTTTATATTATTATCTACTTCGTTTGGCGCCACCTTTTGGGACGGCGCCTGTGCCTTTTTAATTTTTAAATAGGGCTAAGTCTTGTTTTCTCTCCCTTTCAATTAGAAAATAAAAACTTCAGCTAGGGAGAGATTTAGATTTTCAAAGTAAATTAATTGTTGGCACCGCAAGATCCTAAACAGAATTATAAAGTAATTTTCTAATACAAA